AAAGGCTTGTGGCCTTGGGAAAGGCAGGAGATGGTGTTACGGGACCTCGGTACATGTCCCAAGACGGCCGCCTCCGTGTCAGCCGCTCTCCACGCTGTGCACAGGGCAGCGCCGCCAGGACGGGGAGGTCAGAACGCGAGGAGGTGGGGGCAGGGGCCAGCTGGGGGGAGCAGCAGGAGTTGCTGAGGGCAGGCCTGCCTGGACCACCTGAACCTCAGGAGTCTGATGTTCTGTTTGCTCCTCTCCCCCTCGTCCCCCTGGGAAGGGCCCTACCAGAGCCCTGCCCACCCATCCTGAATATCCATGGGGAAGGTGGGGGTTGGGGGGTGAAGGGCACAGGCCCTAAGAAGGGGACACAGGAAGGAGTGATTGACAACACGACCCCAGCCCAGCCTTTCCTCCAGGCCCCGGGTCACCCCGCCTCTCTAGTCTGGAGGAGGAGCGAGCAGGTGTATCCAGATGTGCCCCCAAAGTTGTGCAAGCTCAGCGCTCACGGGCATTTCGACACCCAGCTGAGCGTGGGTCACGCAGAGGGCAGAGTGGAGCCAGAGAGGGGCAGGGAGGAGGGCGGTGCAGCCCAGCCCCGGGCAGCGGAGGCAGTTGGAAGAGCTGAACCAGGAGCACCAGGAAAGGGGACTAAAGGAAGAATCATCACCTTTGCTTCTCCCCCAGGGCAGTGGTGAGGAAGTCTGCACCGCTTCCTGCCCGGCTGGCGGCCTTGACACCCCGCAGAGGGCCTGCATCTAGCCGGCGCTCAGACAGTGTCTGCTCAATGAATGAACAACCTCCCCAGGCTAGGCAGGCGGGAAATTCCCACCAAGGGGAGCAGGAGCCGCTGCCTTTATATATTTTTTTTATTGATTTCAGAGAGGAAGGGAGAGGGGGAGAGAGAGAGGAACATCAATGATGACAGAGAATCACTGACCGGCTGCCTCCTGCATGCCCCCCACTGGGGATCGAGCCCACAACCTGGGCACGTGCCCTTGACTGGAATTGAACCAGGGACCCTTCAGTCCGCAGTCCAACGCTCTATCCACTGGGCCAAACCAGCTCGGGCTTTGGCTGGGGATGCCGCACGTGCCAGGCAGCGTGCCAGACTTTACATCCATGAACCCCGTCAAGGTTCCTGCTATTATTCCCATCTTGCCAATGTGAATAGGGGCCTGGAGGGGGCGGGAGCTCGCCCGGCTGTGGTGGCTCAGTGGTTGAGTGTTGACCTATGAACCAGGAGGCCACGGTTCGATTCCCGGTCGGGGCCCATGCCCGGGTTGTGGGCTCAATTCCCGACCGTGGAAGAGGCAGCCAATCAACAATTCTCTCTCATTGATGTTTCTCTCTCTCTCTCCCTTCCTCTTAAAATCAATAAAAATATATTTAAAAAAGAAAGGGTCTCGCCTAGCCGGCATGGCTCAGTGGTTGAGCATCGACCTATGAACCCGGAGGTCCTGATTTGATTCCCGGTCAGGGCACATGCCTGGGTTGCGGGCTCGATCCCCAGTGTGGGGCGTGGAGGAGGCAGCCAATCAATGACTCTCTCTCTCATCATTGATGTTTCTCTCTCCCTCTCCCTCCCTCATCTTCCTTTCTGCAATTTAAAAAACAAAAAACAGCCTGTACATCTCAGAGCAGACTGACCCTGGGTGCCCACTCCGGGGTCAGAGGACAAGTGGCTGATTCGTGCCTCATTCTCTGGGCTCAATGGGGTTTTGTTGACCGCAGGGTGCAGGCCTGCGGATTGCGTTCCAATCTGGTTTGGAAACACTGTGTCCAGCGCTTCCCAGGTGGGAAAAGCAACCCACCCTTCTTTATAGTCGGCTCCAATTTATGGCGGCGCTCACTTAAGGCTTTCTCATTACGTGTCCAGGCAGCCTGTTTTTTGTCTCCCTGCGTCGCAGCCTCACACCCTTCCCAGGCCCCAGGGTGTCCTCTAACGCTTTCTCTTACTGTTGAACAAGGGGGAAAAGATCCGAGGCTCGGAGGCCTTTTCTCCAAGGAGACTAAGCACATTCTCTTTGGGGGGCCCCGGGCTTGTACCTGCTGAGCACGGGACGCCCCCCAGGCCCCCTTCCCTTCTTTGGTCATGTGTGGGAGCACCCCTTCCGGGCGGCCCCCGGATCTCGGATGGGACACTAACGGGGGTTCCCCATAGGAAGGATGCCCCTTTTTTAGGGATATTTTTTTCAAAAACTACAGACCCGGCCCCCTTGTTTTACAGGTTTCCAGCCTATGGGCGGGGGGGGGGGGGCGTTGGGGGGGGGGTTTCAGGAGCGGAGGGCAGATGGCAGGGAAGCGGGTGTGGGCTCTAGCTCCATGCCTTTCTCCCTGTTCTGAGAGGAAGGTGCCCTGTCGCATGGTCACCATGGTCCTGCCCAGGACGGGCAGGCTGCCAGGAACATCTAACGAGCCCCCAGGGATGAGGCAGGAAGCTGCCTCAAGCCACGGTGGGAAGGTGAGCTGGTCAGTCACGGGAGAATTCCCCTCTGGGGCACCCAGCCCTGCAGGACAATCCGCACGCAGACGGGAGGGGGGCGGGGAGCCAGGCCAGGAGGAAGCCCGGTGGGGCGGGCACTCCGGGCTGTGGTGCAGCTCAGTAAAGCGTGGCTCTGTGCTCAGCTCCCAAGGTCAGGTGCCAGGGAGCTGCTGAACTCTGCCGGGCTTTGGCGGGACTAGGACAAGAAGTCCCCTCCGGGCTGACCCAGCCTCAGGAACACAGGGGAAGGTCTATTTCCTCCACAGCGTGGAGGGCAGAGTATGGACTGCATTTCGACCCCTCAGCGGGGCCCCAAATGTGTCATCTCGGGGGGGTCCTCACAGATGAACCTGAGTGACTCAGTCCTCCCAGGGTTAGGATTTTAACATGATTGTGATTGTGTGTGTGTGTGTGTGTGGTTAATCCTCACCCAAGGGTATTTTTCCACTGATTTTTAGAGAGAGTGGAAGGGAGAGGGAGAGACAGAGAGAGAAACATTGCTGTGAAAGACACATATCAACTGGTTGCCTCCCACAAGCACCCTGACCAGGGCCAGGGATTGAGCCTGCAACTGAGGTACGAGCCCTTAATTGGAATGCCTTTGACTGGAATGGAACTCAGGACCCTTCAGTCCTCGGGCCGAAGGTCTGTCCACGGAGCCAAACCAGTCAGAGCGAACATGAATCTGAGGACACAGACACGCTGACCACAGCACCAAGTGACCCGTGCAGGGGGTGCTGGCGTGCGGCAGCCGTACTGCGGCCTGGCAATGGTCATGGGTCTGAGGAAGTGGCCAGGTCTCGGAGCTGTGTGGGGAATCCCCCCAAAGCATCCCAGCTGCTCTCGGTTCCTCCTCATGGCTCCCCAACACGGCTCCCCAACTTACTGACGCCATAAGCGGTCCCCCATGGAGTTCCGGAGCCGGACACAAGACTGCCCCTGAGGCCATACATGGAGTCCCTCGAGCAGCAGTCCCCACCTCATCTCACCTGCCCCCAAAGCTGAGAGGGTCTGAGGGCAGAAGGGAGCTGTGGCCACAACAGCGAAACAGCCAGGCAGCAGCAGGCCCGGGGCCGGATACACGTGTACCCTCACTTCACACGCCGGAGCACCCAAGGGGCGGCGGTCAAACCACAGGCCGGCACCGCCCCACCCCAGGCCGAATCGCCCCAGCTCTGCAGGACACGCCAAGGCTGAGTCTGTGCCTAACACAACAGCAATGACAGCGAGCACTCGCTCAGCGGTTTCTTGTGCCAAGGCCCGTCCTAAGGACTTTTCAGACATAAACGGGATTGACTCCTCACAGCCCTGAGGCAGGTGCCGGCGTTATGTGCCCATTTTACAGATGAGGAAATCAAGGCCCAGAGCGGTCGGGCAGCTTGCTCGGGGTCACGTGGTTCCTAAGTGGCCGAGGCCGGTTTGCAGCCAGGACACCTTCTCGGCGCTACTGGGCCACGAGGTGGCTCTGAGTGCTGATTCTGCTACTCTTCCCTTTTGCAAACAGAACGCTCTTAAGGGTGGGGAGCGCTGTAAGAAAAGGACGTCTGTAACCTGGAACCTATAGGTCCTTTATTCTAATTCACACAGTGTGACAACCAGCGAGTGAAAGGGCTCAGAGAAACAACACCTATAGACGTTATGCCCACGCAATACACCTGGCTTCACGAACTCTCCCAAAGCAGGCTTGCAAGGGAGCTGTGACCGGGAGTATTTTGCAAAGCGAGCAACCTGGGGCTCAGGGCGGAGGTGCTGACTTGCCCAGGAGCAGAAATGGGCTTAGCATCCGGGTCCCTCCGATTTCAAAGAGAAATTGGAGAAGCAACCAGGTGAGAGAGGAGTAAGGAGAGGGGGGAGCAGAGGGCTGGAAAGGGAGGGGGCCACAGAAGCAGCTGTGAGCTCCAGGGGAGGGACCTGGCCCGGGAGGATGGTCCTCCTGCCTCCAGGGCCTGGAGTCTCGGCGCACCCAGACTGCCCCCTCCCTACTACGGCCCCTCCCAGGTCCTGGGGGACCCCACCGTGTCCATTAGGGTGAAGGATGGGGCGCCGGCCCTTCCTCCTGTGACTTGCTGGAATACCAAACCCCGGTGTTTACGGGGCCGCAAGCACAGCCCCCTCCCTCCACCCCGAGCTGCCCGCGGGGGCGGCACCGCGGCTGGCTCTGGTCAGCATCAAAGACAAGCAGATGCGCAGGCGGACCGGCGGGTAGCCAGCACCGGGGGTGGGGGATTGGGGGGGGTGAGGGAGTCACAGCCAAAAGGGCACCCTAAAGAGGCAGCAGGGGGGCGAGGAACCCCCCCCCCCCGCATTAAAAGAATGGAAGAAAGGAGCCCGCGGCACCGACAGCTCCCCTCTCCCTCCCTCCCTCCGCGTAGCGCTTTCCAAGGAGGAGGGGTCCCAGTGAACCCCACGTCTCCAACGCGCCCCCTGCCTCCTTTGTCACAGCAACGTCCGCACGAGGCACTCGGGGCCGCCTCCCCTCCCCTCCCCTCCCCTCCCCGGGCCCGCGCCCCGCGGGGTCGCCCGCACTCACCCAGCGGCAGGCTGATCCGGGGCACGAGCGCCCGAGTCGCAGGCGGCGGCGGCAGCAGCAGCAGGAGCAGCAGCAGCGGCGGCGGCCGGGTCCCCGGGGCCATCACGGCGCGCGCGGTTCGGACAGCGACGGCGTCTTCCCGGCTCGGGCTCAGGTGGTTCCACTGGACTCGCGGGCGGCAACCCCGCCCCCGGACCTGGGGGTTGGGGTGCGGGTCACGTGGCCGCCGAGAGCGCGCCCCTCCGACCCCCTCCGCGCGGTCCCGCTGGCCGGGCTCCGAGTCAGCTCTCCCGGGAGCCCGGGGCGGAGGGCGGCGCCGGAGGAGGAAG